TAGTATATTACATAACTTGGGAGAGACTGGAGAGCACTATGCCAAGTGAACTAACTCAGGCTCATGAGGACAAATAAGACCATTATTGTAAAAAATAGAAGGATAACTAGTAAAATATGTATGGAGACCCAAGTGGGGAAGAGGTGGGAACAGAGCGGTAAGGATGGGTAGGGTCAAAACCACAAGGTTGCACAATTTGGTGAGTGGAAGGAGGGGGTGAAGGAAATGGGAAGGATCTGGTGTGGAGGGATCTGAAAAGATAGGATAATGATGGGCAAGGTTCAAATGGTAATTGTTGTTGTTGTTGTTGTTGTTATGTCCCGTCAAGTCGCTTGCGACTCATAGCGACCCTATGTACAACAGCCCTAAACTCTGCTCTGTCCTGTGCCAATCGCTCTGTCTCCAACACACTATCCCGATTACCCCAATCACTGAATCAATCCACCTCATAGAGGGCCTTCCTCTCCTGTGCCGTCCCTCCACCCTCCCAAGCATGATGTCCCTCTCCAAGAACCGGTCTCTTCTTACAACATGTCCAGATTATGTTAGACAGAGCCTCAGAATCCTTACTTCCAAGGAGCCACACAGTTTCACCCTTTCCAATATGAATCTGTTTGTTTTCCTAGCAGTCCATGGTACCCTCAATACTCTTCTCCAGCACCACAGCTCAAAGGCATAAATTCTCCTTCTATCCTCCTTAGTCATTGTCCAACTCTCTGATGCATTACAATGGTAATTAATTTTATAAAATATAATGCATAGGAATAATTGTATGAAATATAATGTGGACATTGGTATTAAACAAAATGTGAATGAAGAATAGTGTGAAACACAATGTTTACAAACTTTGTAAGCAAATATATATATATTTATAAAGATATATATTTATATATATGACTATAAATATTTGGTATTTTATATTTTTTTAATTTTTTTTTTTAATTTTAGCTCCTAAGAATACCTGGTAGTTAGTCAAGTGCACAGGTATACAGCAACCCAAGTATTTACCATGGCAATAAATAATAGGACTAAAAAATAAATGAGGTAAAATAATCCCTGGTCTTGGGCAATAAAGTGTGAGATGATAAAAAGAAATTTTGGACAAATAAAGAGGAAAATCAAAATAGCTGTCCTTAATCCAAGGAAGCTTTTCTAGCAAGATGACAAAGTTGGATAATTTCAAGGAGTTGATGTTTAGAGAAGAAGCCCTATTGAAGCTGTGGGTATGTGCTTAACTGCTAACAAGAGGGTCTGTGGTTCAAACCCACCAGTCACTCTACATGACAGTCTCCTTCCACAAAGATTACCACCTTTGAAACCCGCTGGGGAAGTTCTGCTCTGCCCTCTAAAAGGGTCACTGTGGGTTGGCACCTACTTCAGGCACAGAGCAGCAGCAAAGAATGAGGAGGCAAGAGATATAACAGAGACCATGGTCTCTTCACCATAGTGAAGAAACTTCCTGCCCTTAGAGCTCAGTAGTCTTCATCATAGTATGATTTTGAGGGAAGAGCTAGGGCAGCAAAGGAAGTGATTGGTGATTGGTCTGTTTTGACAGCCTGGCCTGGAAATGAGCTGGAGCTCTGTGTGACACAACAGTTACCTCCTTGATGATGCGGAACATGATCTCACAAGTGGGAAACACCCCAGCCCCACCCTCAGGGCTTCTCAGAGCACAGCAGAAGAACCAGCAAGGGGGAAAGTCCACCTTCCCCAGCAGAGACAGCTATAAATAACATCCACTTCACGCAACTACTTGTCAAGTTCTCTACAAACACAGGGGGTGAGTTGCATTGCGACAGTTGGAAATGGCCTATCTTTTAGACCTCCTCTCTGGGAGGAACCTACAGTCCCAGGTATTGAACAGAGGTGGGGTAGTTGTTTGAGTGAAAGGCTTCTCACAAATTCAGAGGAAGACCCTGGGTTGGGGTGGACTTCACATTGTGTTTGTTGTTGTTCATTTCTGTTGAGTTGAGGCTGACTCAAAGCAATCCTATGAACAAAAGGCCTGAAGCCTCTTTATAATTATCATCGTTTCTCCAGGTTCACAGAGCTTTCAGAGGCATGTGATTTAAGAAGTGGATGCCACTCCTGCTTCCAAATCTGTCCTAAAGTGGGGTGTTCCACCAAACACCGTCCACCATGGGCAGCCATTACGGCATTTGACCCCCAATGGCATAAGGTTCAGCTTCACAGCAAAACCTGATTACCTTAGTACAGCAAATTGGCAGAAGAGTGCTGTACAGTTTAGAAGAATGTTCCTCCAAAATGAAATGATAGCAACAGCGATAGGTTTTTGGGGCCCAACTGACATTTAAATACAAGGGCCCTCATAAAGTTTCCAGAGGCATGTGGTTTAGGATATGGATGCCACTCCTGCTTCCAAACCTGAATCAATTTGGGAGCTCCACCAAATACTCCCCATTATGGGTAAAAATCTCATTACTTAACAGAATTTGGGTATTCCTACCTTTAACATTCACCTCTATTTAATCCTTCCCTATCTCACAGGCCCCAGCATTTTACTCAGTTAAGTCCTTATTGTAATCTATCTGCAGACCTTGTATCATTCAAAGGGAAAAAGAGGGGCCCTGGCAGTGCAACACTTGGTGCCTTTTCTTAAATGATGTTTCAAATTTGCCAAAGATGGACTTTCCTTTTCTCCCTCTTTCTAAGATCTCTCCAAAGATCAACTAAAGGAGAAGTCTAATGGGTAAGGGAGATTTTACAGTCTGAATTACATGAAAAGCCAGAAATGTTTGAACCCAAAGTCCTTTGGTTCTTAATACAACAAGATCTAACTTGTTTGATGTGTTTAAAATATCTCCTCAAAGCCAGAAGCTTTGAGTTAATTACTTAAAGCTTTAAGGAAGTTAGTCACTTCATTTAAGAAGCCACAGGTTCAAATTAGGGGCTTAATTTTCACAGTTTTGATAAAAACAGTATGATAGATAAGGTGGGGGAGTGAGGGCACAGGTCTCTAGAACTTGAATGGAAAGAACATCTGCTTCAATTATTTGATTAAACAGGTCCTGAAAACCATTTAGTTCACAGACTCACTCATAAATGCTGAATGGCAGGGGAACAGGACAGAGACCTCAATGTAAAATACTATCACCACGATTCTTAATACAATTTATGTCTCTGTGTCCAAGGAATCCTTAAAGCAATAGATATTATTTTTAAATGTGTTTCACATTAGAACGCCCAAATCCCACTGCCTTCAAGTCTTTTTCGACTTATAGGAAGTCTCCATTTGATTTCTGAGCCTGTAAATATTTTTAAAATTTTATTATTAATGAAAATTTAGCGACTTTGGATTTCCATTCATTCATTTTTGCACTTTTCTCCCTGCCCACCCTCCCCCCACCCCAGTTTACTCTCCTCTTTGAAAAGTAAAAGTAAAATTCTTTCTTAGTAATACAATCCTCCCCCCTCCAGGTCCACTCCAATATGCAGCCTTCATTCTGGACATCTGTCATGACAATAATCCCTAATCACATATCCCTTTTAAACAGTTTTCTCCCTCATCTGTCTCAACGCAGTATACATTATTTATCCCATCTTTCTCAATCTTCCCCCAGCCCCGATGACAGTCCCATTTTACAACAGTGGCACTATGCAGTATTTGTCCTTTTGTGACTGAGATAGAGGCTATAAATCTTTACATGAAAAGAAATTTCTCCCCTGGGGAGCAGCTGATGGACATGAACTGCTGATCTTTGTGTTAGCAGCTCCACACCTTTAAACACCACGCCACCAAAGCTCCTAATATTAGAATAGAGATTTTAAATTATTTGAGAGTTCAATTTAATGATGTTCCTCTTCAGAAAGTCATACTAACTAAGAAACAGAATTACACAATGCTTTATTTTTACATTGTTAAAGGAAATCATGGGTGCAGCAATAGATCCAATCAAGATCAAAATCCTTTGTCCATATCCTAGAAGTTATACTGTCCATAACTTCTCACTTGGGATTAAATTCAATGGAGGTGAGAAGGACTATCCTCCTTAAAATTGTTATGACTGTGGTTCTAGCATTCATATTTTTAGAATAGCCTAGTTCAGCTCCTCCCCTGGTGTTTTCCCTTACTCTAAGAACTAGATCAAACCTGGATGGGAGATGTGGAGAGTGGAGGAAAATTTTAACCCCATCATCTTTAAGATTCAGTTTGCTTCCTTTCCCTGGTCACCAAGGAGAAAGCAGATTTCAATGTTCTCGTGGCTTTAGAAGGCCACACACTTGAATGAAGTGCTTCAAGAACCTAAAGCTATTAATATACTCTCTCATTTTACCTTCAGAGATGGCCTTTCAAGAGTTCCTTAAAATCTTTCTAAACGCCCTGATGGCTTACTTAGTCAGATCAAACCACGCAGAACACAGGAGCAATGGTTTTGTAAATTACTACCTAACTTGGAAGGGACTGGAGAGCATTATGCTGAGTGAACTAATTCAATCCCATAAGGACATATACTGTATTAAACCATTATTATAGAATGAGTATGAGTATGGGAGGGAGGAGATGGTAACAGAGCCATTAGGATGGGGTGGGAAGAGGTTAACCATGGAGTTGTACAATCTGATGGGAAAGGGTGAAAGAAATGGGAAAAACAATGTATTTGAAACGTTGTAAATAAACCAGTATATTAAAAAAAAATGAATTCAATACAATACATAGGCTAAGGAGATACTAGTTATACTAAAGTATGATGACTGTTTAAAGGTCAAATACATTTTATGCAGCTAGAGGCTACAGAGTTGAGATGAGAGTAAGTGAAAATATGAGTACAGCAATAGATATTGATAGAAATCGACACAATGCCAAGAGGAGAGCTCTTACATGAGCAGATGGCATGGAGTCTGAATGCAGCTTAGGAAAAGTTTTCTTAAGATTGGACAACAGGTATGAGTGGGAGCCTGCACTGGTCCCCCCTGGTCTCACAGGTGGTCATCCACATAAAATCTATCTTTCTCTGCAGGATTCAGAAAATACAAACACAATGTCAAGTGATGATAAAAATAAATCTGCTGAACAAAAGAATGTGCCCAAGAATGACCCAAAGAGTGAGCCCAAATGTGAACCACCGTGCGAACCGAAGTGTGAACCAAAGTGTGAGTCCAAATGCCAGCCCAGCTGTTTAAGGAAGCTGCTACAACGGTGCTCCGACAAGTGCCCACGAGACAAATGCGTTTCGCCATGTGCACCTAAGTGCCCCTCTCCATGCCCCTCTCCTTGCCCTGCTGCATGCCCTGCTGCATGCCCCGCTCCATGCCCCCCTCCATGCCCTCAGCCATGTCCTCCCAAACCCATTTGTGTCAAGCCCTGTCCTCCTAAATGCCCTCCCTGTCCACCACCGTGAGGGAGGCACCAAGGGCGCCACCCAGCCCCCCTGCCATCTACTGCCATCCCGCTTCTATGTTCAGCACTGCGGGCTGGGGGCTGAAATCATGAACTAGCAAGTAAACAGGTTCCTCTGCCGTGCAAGACTCTCTTCTCCCGGGTTTGTGTTGTCTTTGTTTTTGTTTATAACACTAACTCACCTACTAAGACACAGCTCCAAGAGTGAAGCTAGACTCCCACTTCTCCTTCACTACCTGGAAGCATTTAACCCAGAACGTCAAATGGGCACAAGGGAGATGGAAGAGTATAAAGGAAAAAGAGTGATAGAAAGTGAGAAAAGCTTAGAGAAGGCTAGGAAAGGTTGTTCTACCCTTTGCTGTTACTTCCACCGTATAATGTTTGGGAAGGACTCTGAGGAGAACTGCTTGGGTTAAAGCTCCAACTCCACTCTTTGGTCTTAAGATAGCTACTTAATTTCTCTGTGTCTGTTTTCTTCTCTTCCTAAAAGCAATTCTAATTCTATTAGTACCTGCATTTCTGGGTTCTTGTGAGGGATACAGACTGCTTGGGTTCCTGGGACCTACAAATGCCTTTGAAGGTAGTACTCTGCCCTTGTCTGATGTGACACACACACTTGGACTTACTTGTTGCCGCTTCTCTTCACTGCTAGGTCCTAATTCTCTGAAAGTGATACCCGAGCTCTCCCCTATATTGTCGAGTCCTGAAGTCATGTAAATGTTGAATATCCTTGGCAACTAACCAAAAGGTTGGAGATTAGAGTCCACTCACAGGAGGCATGGAAAAACAGCCTATGGATCTAACTCCAAAAAGTCAGAACATTGGGTTTTTGTTGTTTGTTTGTTTGTTTTCTCTGTTTTGTTCTGTTCTGATACAGGGTTGTCATAAGTTAGAACTAAGTCCACAGCAAATGGGATTTTTGTTTGAGTTTTAACTTAATCTGTAGACACACAGCTTGGTTGGCATGTGCCATCGACTCAGAACCAAATCATAGCTGACCCTCTAGTGGGATTTCAAAGGTTGTAAATCACACAGGAGAGGATTGCCTTCTTTCTCCTGTGGAGCAGTGGGTGGATTAGAACCGTGTGCCTTTCACTTGCCAATGTAATTCCTTACTACTAGGCCACCAGGATCCATGACACATAGCTTGGTGGTCTTAAAAGAAGAGAAAGGAAATTATGGATTAGAACACTATACATTTCCTGGCTCTGATACTGAACTCCAGTTATGTAAGATGTTATCATTGAGGGGAAAACAACAGAGTGTACATAGGATCTCTGTACTGTTTCTGCAGCTTTCTAGTGTTTCCAGTGTTGTTTCAAAAGAAAACATTAAGTACAACAAATGAAAAGATGAACCTGGGAGGATCCTCGCTGGGAACCAATACAACAAGTATTCACAGCTGACAAATTAGGGGGAAGTGGTTTGAGAATAAAAAAGAGAGAAGGACGAGAGCTCCCGATGACAAAATGGCTAGGTCCTCAGCTGCTAACCAAATAGTTGTTTGAACCCAATCAGCTTAAACATTACAGCCGAAAAAAAAAAAAAAACCCCATGTGACAGTTCTATTTTGTTACCACTATGTTTAGAAAATAATTTCATCTTTATGTCACCTTATAACAACAGAGATACACTCAATTTGGAACTAGCTTAATTCACTAAAGAGAATGTGTGTGTGACTCATACTGTTGCGCCACATATGGGGAAAGAGGCAAAAGGAAAACTACACAAGACTTCAGAACCAGCTGCCGCTATCTCACTCTCAATCCGCCAGTCTTCACTCCCTTTCAGAGGAAGTCTCCTGCTCCTTTCTCCTCTCTCCTCCAACTTTTTTAGGCCTTCTCCAATTTGGTCCCCTGAGGACCCATCCTGCTGACAATTGGACGTGGTTGTTGTGCATGAAGACACTCCTGTAATGTCCAAGAAGGAATCTGGATGCATAGGACGGCTTGAATCAGACTAGTCAATGAGCTAGCCTTCCCATGTGGAAAACATCAGTTTTCAATTACATTAGAATCATTTACATGGAAAGAGGACTAGGATTCTATGTGTTGTAGTAGTAGTAAGATGCAGTGGAAGAAGTCAAAGCTAGTTTGGCTTTCTGTGGAATCTCTCCATAAACAGGTTGCCAGTCTCGTAGACAGCTGGCCCAAATTGTGGCAAATCAAAAACACTGGGACCCTAGCAGACAAACCAGAGTTATCAGCCAGTTACAGAAACAAACTGGTCTTCTTGCTTCAAGAGCTAGACAGGACTTTTAATGTGCAACCCTTCATTTTCCAGATAATAAAACTGGTGGTTAGTTTCCCTGACCTGGGAGACATTGGGGCCTTAGGCTTTCCTGCTAGGACAGGAGACAGGCACCAGTGTTCACATGACCAGAGTCCTGCAGAGAGGGCCCTCGGACACTAAAACATCAAGAAACCTATTCTAGAACATTGAGGAACTGATAGTCAAGTATGGAAACATACACATATACCTGTTGTCATTGAGTTGATTTCCACTCAAAGAAACCTTATAAGGCAGGATAGAATTAGAATTATCCCATGAAGTACACCCAAGGCTGTAGTCTTTAAAGAAGCAATCTGTTATATCTTTACTTCATGGTCTGGCTGATGGGTTTGAACCACTGACTTTTGAGTTATCAGGTAAGGACTTGATTACTATATGCTAATGAGATTTCTTAACTATTAAAAGTCCTGTAGCAAATTCTCCTTACCAGAAAAAGAAAAGGAAGGAAAGAAGAAAAATGAAGGGAAGGAGAGGAAGAAAGAAAAAGAACATGACACTCTTATCTATTAAATGAACATTTAAAAAAAACTCTCAACTCTAAAGAGTGTTGATGCGATTGTAAATAGAGAAAAATCCTTTTAGATTGCAATTTTGGAAGATATAAAAGAAACACAAAAAACATTCAACCCTGTGGTCCAGTTGCTCCACTTCTTGGAATCTATGCAAAGAAAATGAATCTAAAGTCATAAAAAGTGATTATCACAATGTCAGAAACAATTTAAATATCTAATAGGGGTGTAGTTAAATAAATTTGGTATATTAGAGAATGGAACACACAGTAATTAAAAAACAGAGATTTGTACACCAATTTTCACAGTAGCATTATTCACGATCACAAGAACATGGAGACAGCCCAAATGACCAACCACAATGGGAAGGATTGAGAAAACATGATACATTCACACTATGAAATACTATGCAGCACTAAGAAACAACAATTTCAAAATTACCACATAACTTGGGAGAGACTGGAAAGCATTGAGCTGAATGAACCAGCTAAGTTTTATAAAAACAAATACTGCATAAGACCATTATTGTAAAAATAAAAGGGTAACTATGGGAATTCAAGGGGGGAAGAAGTGAGAGCAGAGAGATGAGGATGGCCAAGTGGGAACTTGTAGGGTAGCACAATGTGGTGAGTGGAGGGAGGGAGTAAAGGAAATGGAAAAGATCCAGCACGGATCTGGAAAGACAAAGTAATGGTGAGCATAGTTCAATAGAGATTAATTTTATAAAGCATAGTGAATGGGAATAATTGTATAAAACACAATGTGAGAGAAGGATCGTGTGAAATACAATGTATACAAACGTATAGAAGTCACATCCTTTGTATGCAAACCAAAATGAAATTTTTTAAAAGAATAACGAAAGGAAAAAGATAAAGTCTTAGTTCAATGTTGTTGTTGTGTTGTTGTTATGTGCCATTGAGTCGCTTGCGACTCATAGCGACCCTATGTACAACAGCCCTAAACTCTGCTCTGCCCTGTGCCAATCGCACTGTCTCCAACACTCCCATCCCGATTATCCCAGTCACTGAATCAATCCACCTCATAGAGGGCCTTCCCCTCCTGCGCCGTCCCTCCACCCTCCCAAGCATGTAGAAAATAAAAAAATTCATTGTCTTCGATTGAGTGAAAACCAACTCACTGTTATCAGCAGATCTTCAGACACTGTCAATTGCATGGAAGGAGATTTCCCAGTTTTCTCCCATGGAGCAATTGGTGGGTTTAAACCAAAAGGGAAACTCTGCAGTCCATGTTGTTGTTGTTGTTGTTGTTGTGTCTTTGAGTGGGAATTAACCCAGAGCTGATACTCCAGCAGATTTTCAGAGGCACTAATCAAACAGGAGGAGATCGCCAGCGAAGCAGCTGGTGCATTCAAAGCCAATGTCTCTGACGTTGCAGCACAGCTTCTTGCCGCTAGGCCATCTACAGCTAATATGTTTAACCAAAAACCTTTTTGAAAAAATAAAAGAGGAAATTCCCCAACATTCTAACTTTTTTAAGGACAATGAAGTTATGGATAAACAACAAAGTTTTAATTTCCCTTGTTTCTGAATATTCTTTTTCTTCTGTTATATATATAAAAAAGTTAGCATGAATACTTCAGAGGCTTCCAAATTCCTTTCCTTTATCAAGAAATAACAATAATGAGAAAGGAGCAGAAAGAATTCTCTAGTGAGTACTGTCCATATAGAAGACGTTTTTCACTTGGGCACCTGCCTTCCAAGCATAGGGTCTCAGTCCCAGGACTTTTGGGGGTCTCCATGAGAGTGTGAGTCAGGGTCTCTGAAAACCCTGGGCACAGTCTTGGTGGAGGTTAACTATGAGAACATGAACCATCTATTTGCCAATTTAGTCCTCTTTTCTTCCATGCACATAAAACCAAAGATAGAAATCTCTTAATGGCTGCTTTCCCAGCAAAGAACTGGATCAAAGGCAGTTCTCAAGAAGATGGCTAGAGCATGATGAGCGTGTCACCTCCCTAGAGATTGTCATAATTACCTCCGGCACCAGCAGCCATCTCAAGGCCCTGCCTGCAAGTGGAAGAGGGTTTTTGTGTATAGTGTTTTGTGCATAGTGCGTTTGTGAATCTTTGTTCATTTATATAAACAGCTGAGGAGGAACATCATGAGAAATCATGCAGGGCCAAGAGCAACGGCTCATGATAATATGGTAGGGCAAGGCCATGCTCTCTTCTTTTATGGAA